TAACTTTAATCTTAATTCAAATTGAGTACAATTTCAGTAGATTGATGTACAGTAGCATTGTGTTTCTGCATAAAGAACGATCACATACCTCCTCAATTATGTAAAGGTTATGTTCCGCCTAGCCTTTTACAAGACGAAATTTCAGTAATTTGGCTTTTCACTCAAATATTGCACTTCCCACTTGAGAATTTATTTCATTATTATGAAAGGACTGCAATCATATAAAGAAAATGTTCACTATTACATTGTTATTTCTGCCTTCAAACCCCTCAAGAAAGAAGTGCTGGGACTGTTCTAACCTTCTCCCTCTTCCCCTATAAATTCCTCATCCTGTCTTTTGCCATATGGAGTGTTAACAAACCTGCTATTTCTCTCTCTCATCCCCTCTCAGTCACCAGCACACACCTGTTAATTATTAAGGGCAACAATCTCCTGCGAACTTGCAATCCTGCTGTCCGGCCTCTACGTCTCCCCTCAATGACACACTTTCTAATACAAAAATGGACTACCGCTACAGTACTTTAATAATGAAACTGTAATTTTAGCGAAGAATATTGGCCTAAAACTCTGTAATTAAGAACTTCACATAACTTAATTCCTAGAGTTGGCTTGCTTTTCACGTCACTAGAACTCTTTTCAGCCGTGACTGAAAGGGTAACAGTATAAATGCACACCGGAAATTATTCCATAGAACACACATCTAAGAGAAGATATGCACTGAGGGCAAGGCGGAACAATACTGAGGCTGCACATAACCTTTATGTAAAGTTGGATTTATGCAATTCTGTAATTGAGAGAAATGTGTAGAATAATGCAAAATGTCTGAGACTGTTAGAATTGTAGTTGAGTGTAGTTGAGAATAAAGCAGTTTCGGTGCACATTTGATATTTTCTATAAAAGTAGATGATACTGTTAATACAAAATATACATTTGTTTGTTCTACTGTCGTCCCCTCACTGTGTCTTCATGGCTGTCAGTCCCAGCATTCCCATCTGGTCATCCAGCAGCTTCTAGGTCACCTAGATGCAAACAGCAAGAATTCTGCCACTGTGCGAGCTGGGATTGTGGAGGTGCTGTCAGAAGCAGCAGTTATAGCTGCCAGTGGCTCTGTTGGTAAGTTAAATCTGCACTGGTCTTGACTAAAACAAATTGAAACCTGCACAAATCCAAGGTAATTGATGTTTATGGTTTAAGAACTGTTTCCTTTCCTGTTTATAAAACAGAGCCTGTTGTTTAATATCAAGTTCAATACCAAATGCCAAGAGTTACCTTAACTTTAAATTAGCTTATTAGTCGTGTACAGGTGTGCAGTGTTAGAACCACTGATTGGTGTCCCAAGGCTTTTGACTTTTTTAGAAGTAGTAAATGTGTCATAATTGCAGATACACATACAAGGTACAGTAGGTGCGATTACTCATACTTTTTCAGAATCGCAAGCCATATAGTACTACTTAGACACTATTTAGGTCTGTTCAGGTTACTGGCAGATGACATTTACCATAGAAAAGTACATGTTATTACAAAGAGGTAGCAATATTATTAATTTTAAATATCAAAAGAGTTGTACTGAGCTAGAAGACATGAAGTATCAGAAAGCTCTAGTAGTTTTTGCTGACTTACCTCTTTTATTCTTGTGCAAATATGGATACGTAATAGAAGAGACCGCCTGAATGCTTGGATATGATGTTACAAGTGGAGACATACCAAACAGATTTGATAACATCAAATACAAAACATTAAAGAACTAGTTAAACATCAGTTTAGAAATTATGTTCATAATGAATGACCTCCATACAGTAGGGATATACAGTAGCTGCTTTGAAGCTAGTACAAATGACTTGCGCAGAAGTATAGAAAAGCATATTGGATCCTGAATTAAAATGTAATGTCTTAATTGACCTAATAAAGCCCTTGTTTCTGGTCCCCAGCCTTCCCTTTCTGAACCCTGGCCTAAAAATGAAATATCTTTATGGTAGCTTTAATAAGGGTGTCTCCTTGGATTCCAGGAATTATGTTCATGTTTTAATTTACTTAGTAAACCTTTTTTTTCTACCTTCATCTCCTCTCTGTCCTATAAGCCTGTGGTGTGCCTGGAGTACTGTAACATTAACATAATTTCTTCATTAAGAACTGCATTCTATGATATCTTAGCTCATCTAAGGAAAGCCCCTTTTTTGGCCTTTCTAATATTTTTACCTGTGTTTGCAGTACTAAGGAGTACCATATACTGGTTTCTTCAGATTAATTTAATATCTCCTATAACGTACCACTCTATGGGAAAAGAGCTGATAAAAACTTGTAAGCTGACTGGGAAACAGAGTGGGTGGTATTGATGGACACTTGGGTATTACTATAGGGTATTAGGACACGTGGAAGACTCAACCCCTTTGGTGTTTGTGGTACTTTATGGTACTTTTGCTTATGGGAATGCCCAAATGCCAGAAAGCTACTGGAGATCAGTTGCCACTACTTCTTCTGGATCTTTTAATTTTATGATCTAATTATGATCTTTATCTGAATGTCAAGATACAATATGAACAGCAACAGCAACATTGCTCCAGTGGATAACATGCTAACATGGCTAGAGTGAGTATTGTTTCTCCTGTCATAGTTTTAATAGAGATCTGGATTGCCAGATTAAACACACTAGTCCTTTTACAGTAAAGTAATGTTTTGTGGGTTTTGTGTGGCAGTATGTAATATGTGGTCTTGGCTTTGCATACCTTGGTCATGATGGATATATATTTTCTGCATCCTGGAAGTACATAGCGTGTCTCTTTCAATTTAAAATGATGTATAATACCAAAGATGATGCCACTGTTTCAGGAGAATGGTTTTATGTACTGTACAGTACATCTATGCGTTCTCTGTTCTTTGCTCAACTTCACCTTATAACCACTAGAGGGACCTTGATCACTAAAATTGATTTGCGTTGTGTAGTGAACTGACATTGAGTTTGCAATGATCATGTTGTCTTTGGTTTGTGATGGGAATGTGGACAGGCTTGTAAACTTTTAATTTTTTTTCCTCAGTGTGGGAACTTTAATTAATTATGCAAACAAAATATTTGTCTCATTTCCTTTGGAAATATCAGAATACAATTCAAACCTGTATGACAGTTGTTTTTGATGATTAAATTAGGGAAGAAGGAGAAATCAATTGAATAGAATGTAGTTAAAAGCAATATGTGTGTTCAAATTCAGAAAAAATCCAGCCTACAACCCAGGATTTGGAGTTTGCACAATAATTTAAGGAGTGTATGATGGTTCCATAAATTGTTGGGTTTCCTTGTTTACTTTGGGATGTACTGTAAATGTTTCTTTGACTGAAAGTTGAAACAAGCCTGAGCTTACATTTATGGTTGATTCTCTCTTTTATTCTGATTAAGTATATTTCTAGCAATAGACATCACTATGACTACTGGTGGCACCAAAGGTTTATATTTTTATCAGCTCAGGCTCTCTTTCATTCAGCTTTAGATATAGCTCCCCATAGACAGATCTCAGTGTATTTCTTGAATGGATAAGAAATAATACATTAAAATAAGATTTCCTGTTGTGGTAGTGTTAGTAAACTAGATTGGTATACTGCTTTTCAGTGGACCACAGATTCCACACCGCTGGAATTATATTAAAGTGATGATTAAAGAGACAATGTGTTCTTGCGGGTACTTGCTGAGCTGTTCAACAAAGGCTCTGTCCATGGATACGAAAAAAACACTTTCTTAAACAGCCCTGTTGCCATTTTTAAATATAAATATAAAGGTGGCCTACCTAAGAAAATGCCTGTTTTCTTCCCCTCTTCCACTTCACAAGCTAAATAAGGGGGCTTTCATGGTAAATGAGAGGTTAGGTAAAATAATAATCACATAGGAATTATTCTCATTCTTTATGTGCATCTCTAGGCCCTACTGTACTGGAAGTGTTCAACACTCTGCTCCGACAGCTTCGCCTCAGTGTTGACTATGAACTTACCGGATCCTATGACTCTTGTGTCAACATTGGCTCCAAAATCATCAAGGAGCACGAGGAGCGACAGCTTCAGGAAGCAGTCATCAAAACAATAGGTGATATTTCACACCACTTTCTCTTTTTCAACTACTGTACATGGACTCCCAAACCTTTTAAGTTTTTAAAGCTTCTATGTTTTGTCCCTCTTTCAATGTCACTGCTCCCTTTTGGTTGCCTAAACAAAAGTTGTCGAATTCAGACCAGCCAACAGCTGTCAACCTTGGGAAATGATCATTTATTTAGTGTTGTATCACTTTATTGTATCACTGTGCCTTTGACTTTGAGATTACAATGGTACTTAGTCTCTTTATATGTCACCACTACTTTGGTATAAACCATGAGGCCAAAATGAAGAATGCTTACAGTTTAATTCAGTGAGCACCCATCATGGTCTTACCTTCGTCTGTTTCTCTGAGGTATTCTCCATTGATCTCATTTATCACATTAAAAATAATGCCTAAACTATATATGACTTTTGCTTTGCTTTTCATGTGTTAACTGTACCTGAACTCTCATACTCCTCTTCCTATTTTTTTTCAGGGTCTTTTGCCAACACTCTCCCCACATACCAGAGATCAGAGGTCATGCTGTTCATTATGGGGAAGATCCCTGTGCCTGGTGTCCACCCCTCACTAGGCTCAGCCAATTCAGGGTAAGATAGTCTCCTGCATTGCCAATGATACTCTCCTTATGACGATCAGAGTTCAATTTAACCCGAAAGCTGTACCCTGAAATTGCCACACAACCCTTCTCACAGTTATTTAGCTGTAACAAGTTAATGATAAGATATTGCATTAATTCATTAAATTAACAGCTGGAACAACACATAGTATTTGTAGTGCTTCTCTTCTGGTGTACGTGCTACTGACATGACAGTCGATTATACTGTATAGGCTGGTAGAAGGTGTAGAGCTGTTTCCTGTTCCAGCCATTGCCTGTTGATGCCATTTTGAATGCTGGCATTCTCTCACTGCCATCTTAGTGTGAGGAAAGGTATCCACAAACTGAAGGAAGCTGTTGGATAAGTACCATCCCGAAAGGGCAATGTCCCTAACGGCATCACACATACTACAAAATCAACACGCTACATACCCGTGTAAACATTGCCTATAATATTAAAAAAACAGATGTGAAATTCTCAATGTGATGAAGATTGATGTTAATTTATTCATGCCCATAAAGCCCGTATAATTCCTATATATTTTCTGTTGCACATGGTCAGGATTTACACAGAGTTGAACACAAAAGGGAAGTAAGAGAGGCTAGGAGGTTCTATTCTTTTCATCAGGAAGCTCCTAGCTGTAATGGAAGGAAGCACGTTAATGTTTAATGAGTTCAGATCCAGCAGTATATTTAGATACCTTTGCAAGGTTAGATTCTAAAGTTGTATCTAGGCCTACAGTACAATTACATCATGACACGACACACTTATGGAAAATGTGACCTATTAGGACATTCTTTAGCTGAAGACATTCTTTTGTTTAAATTATATATTTTTTCGATTTCAGACCTAAGTTAGTTGTTTTAGTAGTATGATTGAGTACATTAAAGAACTAAAAATATAATTTAAGTAGATTCCTTTTTTCTCTCTCTACTTTTCTAGTCTCTTTAGGCTGTTTCTTTTCATCAATATTTTTTGTATCTTTCTCTTTTTAAAACTCAGAAAAGTCTTCTAATTCTGAATCAAAGATCTGGTTCAAGGCTTTTACTCTGCTTTGTGAATTAAGGAGAAAAATAGCTACAGCTCTTTGCTGACTCCCAGTATGGTGATTGCAGTTCTTTTCTTTTTTCTTCAGTGCTGAAGAGTGCACATAGAATCAAAGTCTCATTCTTTTTATTTAACAACAGTTTTATCTGAGTAGCAAGAGCCGTTGAAAGCTAGACTTAAAAGATTGAATCAAGGTGACTTATTAAAGGATAGTTTTGCTGATGACATTTAGGACTCCTTTTAAAAATCATACATATGTCAGAGAAATAGAAGTTGAGTGAAAGGCTCAGTCCATTCTCAGTTCTTAATTTACTTTTATGAACTGAAATGTTGAAGAACCTTTCAAGATTGCAGGATAGTAATTCAGTAGAAAAATGTTTAAAAATCGAAAATTATCCTTTGGTCTTCCAAAAAAACATCTAGTCTATTTTCTGAACTGTATGCTTTATCATTCATCTTTTATTCTGCTTTGTCCTTGCTTTATGCTTAATCCTTTATCTGTTTATTCTATGGAATCAAAACAGTTTTCTAGCTTTAATTAGTCTTGCTGTCATTGTTTTTAACATTTTCAACTTTGCATCTTGCACATCTGTGTAAATCATCTGTAAATTGTGCACAAGTTTTGTAACTGATTGTGAGGAGTAACTAGAAGTTATTAATGGCCTGTGAATATTATCTTAAGTCTTAGAAATTACTTAACCATAGTTTTTGTGTACTATTTACTTCAGTACCATACCATGGTACTTTTAAGTGTTATTAATGTATAGCATGTACATGCAAAGTTCTTCACCCTCCTTGAAAAACATTTTATTGCTGTTTGAGCTTGAAATTATGGCCGTTTCAAATAGGACATCATACTTAATAGTCTCTTTACTCAAAACGTTTAAAACCATAAAATGCCGACACTCTGTAAATACATTTCCAAATACGTTATTCAGTCCCTTTGCTACTACAATCCCTAAACCATTTCACTTGGAAAAGAAAAGTTTGAAAGGTCACAAACTTAGTATAAAGGTCTCTGTGTACAATAGCCTTGTTAACAAATGTTAATCAACATAATGAATTTACCCATGTCATGTCTGTTAAACAAAATTGTCAGCGCACCTGCTGCAGAAAATATATTGTTATTTTTTATGATAAGAACTATGGGAATTTATTAGAGTTTCTGAATATATAAATGAACAATCTGACAAATTTGCATATTTCCGTATTGAGACCAGCATTTCAAAATGCAAGGTTTTAAACTTTATATTTTGAATTATAGTTCTATTTAGTAAAATTATATGCAAACCATGTTAAGAATATTAGATTTTAATTTTAAAAAACATAATCATAATTAATTGCTGAAAATGCAATACCCTAATTATAGTCCAGCTAGGGAGTTTCAGCGACTTTACCATCTATCTAAATTGCAGTTAACTCTGCAAAAGAGACATTCTCCTAATGCTTTTAATTGCAAATTGTTTAAAATATTTGGTAATCAAAGTATATATCTAAGGAAGGTAGTCTTCCTACCCAGGGAATGTCAATTTTTTATTCAGTCAAAACATTAGCTTCTAGCTTAAGTTTTTAGTTTTGCTTTATGGAGTTTGCACTTTTAATATTAAATATTGTTGCAAAAAAATATACGTGGTATTGTGCAGAAATGGAAATCACACAATCTGCTTCTTTTCTAGAAGACTTTTGATGAATGTGAATGAATGAGCTTTTTATGAATGAGCTGAATGCGATTTCATGGAGATATAGGTGTGATAGAATAATAATAAATAATTCAGCAGGGTCTCCTTAATTGCGAATTTAACTTTCGCAAATTTGCTTATTCACTAGTCGGTCTGGCCAATGGGGATAGAAGAAGAGCAGAATGGGAGGAAACTGAGCCAAGGGTTATTATGCGCAACTTTTAAATTAGCTACATGACTGACTAGGATTGTGCGACAAATCTAGCTAGTGAGTGAGCCTCTCTCTGCCCCAAGCTCAAGTACCCACGACTCAGCATCCGCATCTCAGTGTGGTCTTTTTTTCTGTTTTTTGTGTTGTAATGAATGCACCTCCTTCTGTGTCAGCAGCAGGGGAAATGACAGGCTGACCATGACTTAACAGGCTCACTGGCAGACATCCACTCAATGCAGGGCATTCATGTTTTTTCTTTATTTTAGCTGAATCCAATTGTTTTAGTTAATGTCAATGTTATTTTTACGAACCTAAAGCAAATGCATTAGTACTTTAACAATCATGAAACGGCTGGTTATGTATGTCTTTTAATATACTGTAGTAGATTAATTGATGGTATACAGTAGGTGTGGAATTGGTTATATTGGTTATTGGTGAGTGTTTAGTGCAGAAATATATGTTGAAACTCCACTGTAGTTTACTCAGTGTTGCCCTGCACAGCCATTGTTTTTTTTTGGTTTGAATTTTTATTGCCTTTTAATATTAAAATCTTCATATTTCACTGCTAGTTTTTAAAATAATCTATTTTATTATTGATAAATAGTACATTAGTATAATTACCCACATGCAATATACAATTTTTCCATTTGCTGAGGTCCTAGTTTCATCTGAATATAGCAGATGACTAAAAATGGGTCCTTGTCAACTTTCGTAACTTAATATTTTTTCTTGTTACTCTTCCCAGGTTTGAAGGTAGCAGAATGATCCAAGTCATGCTGCTAAAATCACTATTACAGGTGAGAAACTTTTACCTTTGTGGTTTGAAGCATTCATGGTACTGTATTTTCTTGCACTAAGTACTGGGTGACCAATAACAGTTGTTCGTAGACATTATATCGATTTATTGTAAAGCTTATACATTAGGGCACTATTAGTGTCATTCCCCTAATATCCCCAAAATATTACGTTCTTCCTTTCAGAAGTTTCTATTTGTATGAAAATACAAAATAATATCAGAGACTTGAATTAAATGCTTGCACAATTACCAGTAGTGGCTGTGATGTTCAGTGCTTCTGATGTTGCGAGGTCAAACTGTAATCTCACCCTTCTGCTCTCTTACATATAAATACTTGCTTGCTATTCATAAATCTGCACATATCTTTTCCACCACTCACTGTTGCATTGCATACCAAATAACTTAATCAAACAAAGCTCATGCATAATATGTGTTTCTGATTCACTCTGAGCTACAGAGCTCGTTCTCTGATTAGTTCTGATTAGTTCTTGTGAAACTTTGTATATCTGAACTAACTTGCTCAAGCAAAGCTCATGATCCAATAGCTTCATCATTAAATAATTTTATGTCAGTTTTGAGGTTCTTTTAATTTATTTTTGGGCTGTGATAGCTCTGACCTTTTGCCCAGGGCTGTCATAAAGTATTAAGTACACTGTCCCTTTGTATTCATGTGTTAATTTCATTGTAATTAGGATTTGAGTGATCAACTGAAATGAGACTTTAACTTAACTTAACTTTCACAGGTTTAGTTGTATCAGTCCAAGATCAGAGAGGTTCCAAAAATTCCAAGATTTTGTTCAATATGTTCAAACTAATTCAGGTTGGCATAGTGATGTGATGTGGATTTTCTAGAGAGTCCCTTTTACACAGAGTTTGCATGTTTTTCCTATGTTTGTATTGATTTTGCTAGGTGCTTCAATTTTCTCTTGTATTTCAAAGACGTTCTGTACTATCTAGGATAATTGGTACTGCTGAATTTCCCATGTGTGCATGAGTGGCCTAAGATAGACAGGTGTGTGATTGAGTGCAGTCCCTAAGACCCTTATCAGGAATTAGTGCCTTTTAAATAATGGATAGATGTCAATGTATAACTAGAGTTATAACTGTAGTTGGTGTGGATTCAACTGAAGAAGTGGTATCTTATAAAAAATGTCCATGAACTTTTGTACAATTATTTTTGGTGAAAGCAAGTTAAGGGCAACCTCACTCCTCAACGTGATGTAGCTGAGCCCCAGTTTCTTCCTGATGGCCCTGATGACTTCACTCTCCACAGGTGACCACAGGCTTCCAGACCACCAACATGCTTACAGCTCTTCCCAGCTCCTTCCTGGACCCCCTGCTTTCCTTCACGCTCATGGAGGATGCAGAAATACGATTGCTGGTGTTGGAGATCCTGGTCAGCCTCATCGATCGCCATGATAACTGTCCAAAGTTCTCCACAATCAGGTGAGTAAACTTCACTGCTGTTCCTTCATCTTCCTGCTACCCCTGGAATCTGGTAGGAGTGTAGTTTCATCAGGAAATGGAAAGGCAGTGATTAATTAAAATGTTTTCCTTCTCTTCAAGATGTGCATTCATAAAGACAATTTCTAATCACCTTGGTCATGGTCTTTTTTTACTGGAATTTTATAGTGATTTGATATAATCGGTTTATATATTAGATATCTATATCAGTCTATCTATATTAGATTTTTGGATCAAATTTTATGTGTTTAGTTATTCAGTTAATAAAAAGGATTTTTTAAAGGTGAGCAAGTGGGAGGAACATGGAAATGCATTGAAAACGTTAAAACGTTAGGCAAGGGGTACATTTAATACAGAGGTCTGTGGGAGTCTGGAACATTTTTCTAAAGCACATGCTCCAGCCTCTTTCAAGAAACTTCTAAATGAGATTCTCAGGTCATTTAAGCTATGAGGAAACAAATGAACTAGGTGACCTAAATAGCAAGCTATAACCTTTATTATGTTCTTGTTTTAGTTTCTTTCACAGTCACATTTATTAATTGAAAGATTCAATGTATGATTTAAAGCAACAAAAAATATTTAAAGCATTTGCCGTTTTTAAGCCCTTCTTGGGAAGTATTGAAAACTTTTCCTCTCAAATCGGAGGAATGTTCTTAAGCTGTTACCCCTATGTGTCTACAGTGGTACTGTAATTAAATGTACTGTGTTTTTGTATGCAGCATCATATCTGATATCTCCGTGCTGAAGCTGAAAGTGGACAAGTGTTCACGTCAGGACAACCTCTTCATGAAAAAGGTTCAACTTAATTTGAGATATTTTGGCCTTAAAAATGTTATAAGGACACCTCATGTCCGTTGTTGGCAATATATTTGGAACACAGATAATCAGACCATGTTCCAATCATAGATCTTAAACAAGACGGCAGAGCTTATAGAACCTATTTTATTTCATAATTGTAATCATAATTGTCAAAAGCTTTTCAAGCGAAATGCAGAAGTTTAAAAAGTGGGTGAATTTTAAGAATTCATGGAGCATTGTGTTCTTTTGTTGGGTGGAAGGTTGCCTACTTGTAACTGACTTTGTTACATCTACCTGTTACAGCACTCGCAGCAGCTCTACAGACACATCTACTTGGCCTGTAAGGAGGAGAACAGTGGGCGGCCGCACTTTGAGACTTTGTACACCCTCCTGGCACTCATCAGCATGGAGCTTGCCAATGAGGAAGTAGTGGTGGACTTGATCAGACTTGCCCTTGCCATGCAGGTATGTCGTATGCCACTGAGTAACACTGTCCTCAGTCAGACTGGCGTTATCAGCGTCATTTGCTTTAGTCACAGATGGTCAATAGCTGATCAGCATTATGCGTTTGCTTAGAGTGAACTAAAGCGCCAATAATAATTTTACCAGAGCTTTAATATTTAATGTATGTGTTAATTGCGTTCATTTATTTAAGAAAGTTATCAAGCAAATTAAAAAGTCACCCTCTCAAATCCTTTAAGGGATTATGGAGCCAAGGAGTCAATGGCGTCATAATGAAAGATTCTTGTGTTTTAATTAGCTTGTATGTTTTATTAATCTGTTCCCACTCATTCCTTTCTCTGCCCTGAGAATTTCATTTACTTGAAAATTTTAATATGTCCACCGCATAGCTTCTTGCTACTTACCAGAGAAAAGTTTTTGATGTTAAAAACTCTCCTTGGGTAGCCTCTCAGTCTTGGGTAAGCTGAGTTCAGTGATTGCAGGTTTAAGCCTGGGTCACTATCCGACTGATCGAGATTTCCTCAGTCGGCAATGCACGATTGGCTGAGCTGCCAAAGAGAGTAATGTGGGATTGGTCAGCCAGGGGTGTCAGTGACACAGCAAGCCCTGTAGCCTCCCGGATGCATGCAGGTACAGTATGTGTTGCTGAACATTTGATATAGGGGTGTGGTACCTGTGAGGTGTTAAAAGAATGGATTGAAGATGGGAGGTTTGTGCACACATCTACAGTTGAGGAACTACAGTTCCTCAGTCTCCCCTTTGTGTGGTCAGGGGATTCATAGCAAAAACACACAATTGCCTTTTGAACACTTAATGTGTATGACAAAAATTGGTAACTGGAAATTCTAATTCCAATTCTCTTTGGTAGAGGTTTACATGTATTTGTTTGAGTTATCAATTGATTTTGTATTCTAGGACCTGGCTCTAAACAATGAGGACAGTCTTCCAGTCTACAATCGCTGTGCTGTCCATGCCCTCTCTGCAGCTTACTTGAACCTCATATGTCAACTCACTACTGTCCCCGCCTTCTGTCAGCATGTCCATGAGGTCAGTTCTGTGTCAATCTGTGAAAAGATGGTCTAGATGTTTTTGTTCTGTTGTGTGTGTCTTTCATTCTGTTCCATCTGCTTTGCAGGTAATTGAAATGCGTCAGAAGGAGACTCCTTACTTGCTGCCAGAGGATGTGTTCGTTGAGAAACCCAGGTATGACATGGCTTCTAAGCAAAGTGGCAAAAGCTTTGCTAGAGCTCAGTGAGTTTGAGTTGATTATCAAGGCAGTATTTTGAGCTTTCTCAATGGAAAATAAAAATAGATCTGAGGAAAACATACTCGGTAAAGAATGTATATTTGGAAAAAACAGCTATTTGAAATTAAAAATAAATAGTTCAAAATAAATTATTCTTACCATGTTCTGGGAAAATGCTACCCAGCCACGTGGTTGTAGTAGATACTTTGGCTTCTTTCAAGAAACATGAAATCCTCAGATATATTAACTGCTCACTATCAAAAGGGCTAGATAAGCCTAATGTCTCCTCTCATTTCTAGCTTCATGTTTTTCTGTTAATAGGTTAGAATGGCAGGCACTGTTATTAAGACTATTTTTTTAATTTATTCCTTCAAAATTAAATTCCTTGAATTTGAATCATTCATGAGGTCTTTGCTGCTTTATGATTCTTCCCTCAGGATCCCAAAGTTACTGGATAAGCTGGAGGGAGAAGTCCTGTTTCTTCAAAGCAAAATCACTGAAGTGCTGGGAGGCAGTGGGTACAACACAGACAGACTAGCCACGCCATATATACCCCAGCTTACAGGTTGGATCACAGATCCTTTTTGTTGTCTTTTAATGTAATGTCTTTTAATCTAAGTCCTGCTTTTTAAAAAAGATCTGTGGGGGAAGATGTTATGAAGTGTTCAGGAAGTAAACCCTTGCATAGATAGCAAAACATTACTCATCTAAACTAATATATGCAGAAATTCCTTTCTGGATAGGGTTGTGATAGGGTTTATGATTATGGTTATCTGAATTTCCAAGAAATTTAAAGAAAACTGAGCTATGTTCAGGAAACAGAAATAATGGCTCTTTGCCACTTTTAACCTCTTTGTTTAGGAGTTTTTAAATATTCATCTTAATACACAAATCCTAATACACTAAAACCAATAACATTAGTGCAGGGTGTGATTTTTTTCACTTTCACTTGTGCATGTTTTAGTTAAGTGTGCTGTGGCCTCAGTTGTCCTGTTGTGTCATGTAACCTAGATGAGGATCGACTCTCGAAGAGAAAAAGCATTGGGGAGACCATCTCATTGCAAGTTGAGGTGGAGTCCAGAAACAGCCCAGAGAAAGAGGAGGTGAGAACAACTATTCGGTTGGCTTTCTAACTTTAATGAATGTTTCTGGATTCATCTATTGTCTAATAAAAGGTATCTCTGCTGAATTTACTATACTCGCTGAAGCAGTGCAATCTAGAGAAGAAGTGAGTCTAGGCTTTATTCTGATGTCTGACTGTAGAGATGCTCTTGATGTTACTACATTTTCATTAATAAATCATGTAAAACTGTGCCTAAGAACTGAATAATTTCCAAAAATATGATAGCAGAAACTGACTCATAAGGGTTAATATTAAACTTTTTCTACTAACGTCCTTTGTAATATATTTGACAGACTAATTTAAATGAAATAAAAAAAGATTTTTGTATTTTGCTTGCTGAAAGCTCCTACAACAACTTCATTTTAATATTAAAATGCTTACATTGTGAGTCTTATTAAATTATATATTATTACAGCATTTTGTGCTCATATTGTTTAACATGTTTTTGCAGAGAACTCCTGCAGAGGAGATAACATTTGAAACACTAAAGAAGGCCATTGGTGAGTTAATGTCTTTAAAAATGTCCATTATCTCCTTAAATTGGAGGAACTGGCAAACAGCAGGGCATAAATGATAAGTATTTTACCCAAAGTCTTGCATACTCCAATTGAAACTGAACGTTTCTTACTGAGGTTATATATTGTTTGAAGGCTCTTGTGTTTTTGTAAGAATATAAGTTGACTAAGAGGTAAACATTGATTTGCACAGAAAGTTTGCATTGACCTGGTTATTTTATCTATATCTTTAATCTATGGCCCATTTATCTATGAACTCTATATCCTAACATTTTGTTTATTTTTGCTTACTCACATGTAAGAAATGTATTTTCCTAGAATTTTATATTCTTTGTGCTACCTTCATTACAAAACTCGCGTTTGAGCATTCTATATCTGTAATGTCCGCTTCCTATCCATTTACCAATTCATAAACCAAAGAACTACACTGAATGTCTGTCACCTGAGATTAGAAAATTAATCTTTTGAAAGAAACTTGATCAAAATCCTTCTGAAAATCTACATATGCTATATCATGTACTCTGTATTACCAAATGTTGCTTGTTTTTACCATGTTATTTAAGACCTACCCCAGACAAGTGCAGCTCTCCCTGCTCCTCCCGGCATTCAATCCCAGTTGCTCACAAACTCTGAATGCACAATGTCACTCCAATTTGGTGATGTCGCTTTTGTTACTGGTTCAGTGAATGAGCCTTCATACACTTGCATGCAATAGATGTACTTTTAAGTTTTACTGGTTTGTAACTAAAGTTTTGTCACCTTTTTGTGGATGGATGTGCTACACTAGCAAAAAGTTGTTAATGGCATATGAATGAGATATTTTGGTTTTCGTATGTACAATTGGTAGAATACTATCACATCCTAGATATTGGTTAATCTAAAATGTTTCTTGTGTGTGAAACTCTTTTGCCTTTTCTGTGCAAATACTATTTAATACCAGAACTTGTCCTTCCCCAGCCTGAGGAATGTTGTATAGGATTTGCAAGTTCTCCATGTTTTTTTGACACATGTCTCAGCTGCATTTCGGCTGGATTTGATCTGCTACATTTTCCCTTTCTCTGTGGCCTTGTGCTGGAGTGGCACCCATTCCAACTGGAAATTAGCTCCTCACACCCTGGGATAGGTTTGGGGTTGCTGTGACTGTCACCAAGATAAGTGGATTTCTGATAAGGAATGGACAGATGAATATACATGGTTTATATTTGGATATAGTTTATGAATGGATGAACAAAATAAATGCAACACTCAGGCCTAAAGGATAGCCAGATATTTTAACAGTATATCACACTCACAGAAAATGTGTACAAAAATGAAGTGTTCAGTATCTCTCAAAATAAAAATATTACATAGTACAGTAGTTGGGTGTGACCTTCCTCTGTATTAACTCAATGCTGACAGTGTTGATGCATAAATCTAGTCCGCCTATTGATAACAGTCTAGCAGATCTAGCACTGTAGTTTCCTGTTGATGCAGAATTGGTCACACAGGTCATACTGCATATTGGAATCATTACAGGAGTAAAAAGGTAATCCTCACAAGAATTTTATGTTGTTTTCTTGACATTTTCTATGTTATACTGGATAGGAGGATTACCCTCTATCTGTATTAAAATCATTCTTGTGTCAAGGAAACCACAGACACAAGAGCACTGTCACACTGTTGGTTTGAAAAGTGTAACAACAAACATTCACCACATCTCATCAAGTCTGCCTCTAGCAACAATATGATCTTCATTACTGAAGTAGATGGTTATCATGTAATGAAATAGAGGTGTGAATAATTGAGTAAAGGGAGGTTAAAACCTTTGTCTTGTCCAATAAAAGTTGTACTTAGGAATATTTTTTTCTCAGAAACAGATGCTGAACAAATATTATTTTTCTTTTCAAAATAGTGTATCACTAAAAATGAGACAACAGTCTCTTTGCTTAAGGCCTAGGGTACAGTCTCTTCAGTGCTCAGATTACTACAATCCTGACCTGCAATGAAGGAGGAGCACAAATGGCTTCCGTTTTGTTTTTTCTACTACCATCTTCTCTTTCTTTCTCTATGTTCTTTATATCCTGTCTTAGGGCCTGTTTTGCCTAGTCTCATCCCCTATGAAGACTGACTTAATGATTTTACTGCAGTTAATTTAGTCCTAGTTAGAATTTATTACAATGTTTGTCCACCTGGTTCCTTGGCCGGATTCCTTGTTCCTTGTGACTGCCTTAAGTGGGACAGTTTGCAAAACACTCTCAGGACTGCCCATTGTTTCAGTTTACAAATTTAAATATTTTGATATCACTCACATGCTTTTTTTCTTTTCGTGTGTTTTTTAAATTAAATTACTTGGCTTGAGGGATGGCAGAGTGATGCAGTGGTTAATATTGCTGTTTAACAGCTCTGAGGCCCTGGATTAAATTCTAGACACAGTATGTGTGAAGTTGGAATGTTCTCCCTGTATTTGTGTGGGTTTTGATAAATGCTTTGGTTTCCTCCCACAGTCCAAAAACATACTAATATACTAGTTGGCTTCTGGAAAAAGTGGTTCTGGTGTGACTGTGTGTCTGTGGCTCCCCTACAAACCTTTATTGGATAAATTAGTTAGAAAATGGATGGAATTTGAGTTCAGTATTTCGTTATCTCTGTACTAATACTCCAACAAACAACAAAATTGAATGTTCTTGAATTTCCGTCTTGCATTATTATTTACGTATTTGATACATACAGTACATTCTTTTTTCTAGGTATTCACAAGTCTTTAAAGCACTTTGTTGTCTCCTTTGCAGTGGACAGTGTAGGAATGGAAGAACAGGAGAGGGAACGAAGAAGGCAGGTGGTAGAGAAGTTCCAAAAAGCCCCCTTTGAGGAAATAGCTGCCCATTGTGGTGCTCGGGTGAGGATTAAGCTATGTAACTGTTTTATTTCTAAGAGGGCAGTACTGTATGTTCAGACAAAATGCCAAAGATGAACCGCATATCCCAGCAGGCAATGGAGATTGACTGGCTATACTCTGTCACCTGACTAATTGAACAAAGACAATTTGTTTCATTTAAATCGGGAACCACAGTCTACCAAATCGCTGTTGACCTCTGCTAGGAGTTAGCACAGCCTGTTTTATTTGCTGCACTAGAGGCAGAAGGGGTAAGGAAGGAAGCAAGGAGGAAGGCAGGTCATTTTACATTGCATTCTGGGAAATGTGGTTTAGGAAAGAAGTGGCATCCGGTCTGAGGCTACAACCTCTTACATTCTTGTATAATAATAGCAACTGCTACCACTACGTTCATGAACCAGGTTTTATTAATGTTATCTTACTTTGTTAAAAAATGCAAAATAAAGACCGAACAGTGCTTAATTTATGAATATCCATCTGCCGTTATTATTTTTATTGTTATTGTTATTTAAAATGATATGTGATGGCTACAGTTCGGAATAAAACCACAGAAATATGTCCCCTAAAATATGTTAGATCTGGTAAAAAGGTGAAATGTAAACATGTATTCAACATGTGCTCTATTTATCTTAGTTTAAATTGGCTTTCCTTAAATTATTGAATGCCAATTGTTGCATATCTTACCTTGCATGCTTTGCAATCCTGAGAGTCATGTCTTGGTTCCAGACATGCCACACGTTTAAGGAATGCACTTACTATACTATACAAACCAGGGAGCTCCAGAAATACACTATTGTAAACATCATCCTACTGTAGCTATGCTCCTGAAATCTTCGGCACAACATTAATACAATGAATATAGTACCTAAAACTGTCAATCCTAGGTCTGAATTATTTTCTCTCACAATGTTGTTTATGTGAATGTAATGCTATCACTCTATGTCTTCTGAATTAGAATTAATACTATTTTTTATTCTGCATTGCAGGCCACTTTATTGCAAAGCAAACTGAATCAGATCTTTGAGATTACCATCAGGTAGGTCAATATGATACCGATTTTCATGATCAATATAAATAAATGGGGCATTGACAATACATTTCTGAAATTCCATTCTTTGCATGGTTTCACAAAGCCAGTGTTGACATTATAATACAACTACATCTGAGCTTACATTTTAGTAAAGTAAGTGTATTGTGCAGACATACTTATTTCTTTTTCTAGTGAGATTTATAATTAATGACGCTAATATATTCTAAACTATCTGCAGTTAGGTGAAAATATTTGAAACATACTTTACTTCCAAATCACACAATTCTGTTGGAATCAACATACCATCACCTCTTTGATGGCATTAGGAAGTTTGTTGGTCTTTTGTATTTTGGTTAGTGGAATGCCTATTTAAAAAACCTGAAATGGTTTATCTTGCAAGTGGTGCTTTAACTTCTTCTTTAACTTAAGAAAGTGTTTGTGGTATATAAACCAGTGATTTATATTGATCTTTAGTGATTATTGTATTGTCACTTTTACTTGGAATTCTGATTTGAAGCCAGCACCCATGACTGAAGGATTTCACTCACACGTCTGAAACTGTCATTGAAGTTTCAGAATATCATTCTGGAAGTCTGGAAGTCATATATTTAATAGAAAAAAATGTTTTGAGTGACAAGGTTCTTTGTTTTCTTTATCCTAGGCCTCCTCCTAGCCCTTCAGGTACCATCAGTGCTGGGTATGGCCAGACACAGACTCGCTCGGTGCCAGTCTATGAGATGAAATTCCCAGACCTCTGTGTGTACTAAAAGCCTTGACCAATCAGTGGCCATCTTTCCCAAAAGCCAGAAATCCAAGAAGCAAGATTTTTGGATTTGCAGCACTACAGTCCATCAAGGAAGTTCCTCCCTGTTTTGTGGTTCCTCTTGTAGATAGGTGTTTCTTTAGTTGGGTTCACCTGGCATGAAGCTCATTCTCTATTTGCACTGTGAAATTTTTGGGACTGCAGTCACTGTCACACTGCTGCATGTGATATAGTCATGATGTGAAACACTGTGTCCCTTGGTAAAAAAAAGGATGAAAATATTTACATGAAAGAAGAATTACTGTCTGAAGCACTGAAAAAAAGACATAACTGATGTGATGAATTCTCTGACATGGTCCAGAAACTAAAGTTCAGCAATCCGTATATATAAATACCAGCCCTGGTTTTCAGCATTTGGAAGTTTTAATGTAAGCCTATAGTAGAGAAATAGGGCAATTAGAACATGTTTATCCAATGATTTCCTGTTCATTTTGTGTCTATAAAGTCTATAAGGATGGGTACTTTGTACTCGCAAAGTCTTTTCAGGTGTAGATTGTAAACTCACTAGTCATGCCTAAAATATATAGAGATCATTTTAACATGTACTGTAAATTTTAAGGACATTTTAGATACTGTGAATGTTATAAAATCTAAGTAATAGTACATCTCCAAGTTGGCGTTAGCTACAAAGTTTAATTTAATTATTTCTCTTTCATTACAATAACGTTTATTGGTACAGCTCAGTAGAAAAGTCTTAAGTCTACTAAAAGGATGGATCCAAAGGTTGATTTTTTACAGTACTCTAATGTGTCACTTGGAAAGAAAGAAAAATACAGTTGCAGTTGGAATTGTAGATCTGTCTTTTATTTTTACACATGAAAGATGTGTCCAGTCCTATAGATGACTAAATATTATTTATAGATTTTTATAGAAGTAATATCTCATAATTCTGCATACACACAGTCATGCAAGGCCTTTACTTAGATGTGCAAGATATGAAAATTCCATAAGAACTGTTTACTTGTACTATGGGATTCTGGATTAGAAATATATGTTGCAATAAAGGTTTTGGAGTCTCTTTGGCACAAATATAAACTAAATATATTTGAATTTCTGCATTTTTACTGTTTTCTAGAGTGATAACAAATACAAGCCTTTTAAAAGGGTTTGAAGATGTACTTTATAGAGATATTTAGAATTTTCTCAGATTTATGATACTCTGTTCTGTGGTTTAATTTTGTTTTGTCTAATCTACATCTACAGTAATGTAGATTATCAAAGGCCCTAACTTCAAGTGGTCTGCACTTCAAGAATATCTATCAATGTTTACGAATGCTTATATATAAAAAGAGATGTTTTGTGTTGAGCAAAATATTTAAAAGATTAATTTCATCTTCATTATTTTAATTCATTTAAATCTTGTGTTCTTTGCCACCCTTTTAGTTTGTGCTTTTGAGCTCAACCTCCTCGAAAACCTTTATACAATATATTATTCTTTACCATATCCATATGAAATATGTCACTGAAATTGAGGCTTTCGATGCTCAGCTGTGATGAGAAGCTGGATTTTGATTTTTAAACAGTGTGAAAAGATTTGGGGTCCTTGGAGGTAGAATTGGAACAAAACTGGCAATACTGAAGTACAGTGTAAAAGAAGCTCAACCTAACAGAAGAGCAAGAATATTGTTTTTTCTGATGTGGTTGAGAAAGATATTAATATTGTTACGTATCCTTTGGATAAATTAATCCAATGTTGAAACCCTCTTTTAGTACTAGGGTATACTAACAGCAGGAGTCTGAGAAAAAACAATTCTGATAAAGTATGACATGTTCTTAACATCTTTTCTGATATCCTGTGACATTTTTTATTCATTCTTTATAAATCTCACTTTCCGTGAGAGCTTCAAAGATTGAGACCCTGTTTGACTTCCTTTCTAGTACCGAAACAGTTTTAATATGGCATCGCCCTTTAATTAAGCTTGCAGATGTGTCTGTATAATGTCTGTTTGTCCGTGTAAGTTTGCTGAGTCAAGCTTCTACACAGCATACTGTACCTTGAAGAACCTGTGCTTGATCTACACATCAGCCATAACCAATCCTTTAACCAGTGGATCAGATCAACCCACTGGACATGTCTTGAATCATTTTGCATGTGCTTTTATTCTTTTTCATTTCCTTTGGGAACTATGTGAGTTAAACTACTTTGTCATTCCACATTTCATTGCTGACTGTCTTGGGGCTCTTCACTGTTGTTACTGAGGTTTGTGGTGTATTTTGGACCTTTACAATATAAGTAAAACACTTTTCCCATGGAACAGACAATATTTAAAAGTGAACCTTTCATAATATGACTGATGGACTAATAGCAGCTAGTAACTACTACTTATTAGACTGGAGCCACAGTAGATGTTCTGTGGCTGGAGTATAGCACAGTTAATAAAGTCACAAAGCACCATCTCATAACGATCCCCTTGGCAGTGACAATTTATGACTTTCATGTCCCCATGAATTTGCTATACACATTTTTCACTTAATATTAAGCACCTTAGAATGTATTATCAGATAAGCTTATATAATACCAGAAAAAAACAACCTTACCAGGGCTGCACAAATCAAAAACTTCAACCAAAACATGTCTGTTTCTCCAGAACACAAAAGTTTGGTATTTAGATCACATCTTTTTTTTCAGTGCCAGACTAGTGACTCTGTGAATGTGCCTCTGTTAACTCTTTTTTCTTTTGGCAATGCTTGTAAGCCAAAGTGAACCCACAGTATATGAAGAGAGTTAAGGGGCCGGAGTTATAATTTAAAGATTATGAGCAAGACAAAAAGTTTGCATAGTAAACATTTTTTCTTATGTATTCAGTAGACACTGTACATAAATGTTACGGCACGTGGTTTTTACGTGTAGTTTTCGTGGTGTTTTGCAGTAATTACAGGTATGTTCACCATCATCTAAATTTCTTTGTTTCACTTCAGTTAAGTTTCATTTCTTGCAGGTTGTTTCAGTTGCAAATGATATAAATCTACTACTTTAGCTAAATGGTGGAACTAAAGCATAGTTATAAAACCAAGAACAGAAGGCACTTCTTTAGGCAAAGGATTGTACGAGTATGGAACATGTTATCCAGCCATATTGTTGAGGCTATTACCCTGGCACCTTTCAAGCAATAGCTGGACAATAACCTCAGATAAATTAGCAGTGATCTCTACTTGGGTCGAATGGACTTTTCTCATTTATAACTTTACTTATGTTCTTAAATCTAGTTTTAAATTTCAAGAGACATTTTCAGTCGCCTTATTTTACCTCTTTACCTCTTTTACTTACACACTGCAGGGTGTTCAGTTATTTCCTGTTCTTATTTTAAAGACATGTTTAACAGTAGCTATTACCCTTTTCAGTAGGTTTGTGTCTATGCAAGAGAAAGTGATATTTTAAATACAATAGTTACTAATGTCTTGGATCTGATGTCCCCAGCACATACTTGAAAACACCAATTGGTTAACACCAGTGAAGCCTTGACATTGTAAATAAATCCTCTTTTATGTGTAATGTTGAATGATAATGTATTTTTAAACTGATTTTAAATAAAACTAATGAATTCTATGCTGGTTACCGACATTTTGCACATTTTATGCAAAAAAAACCTGAGCACAGCCTGATGTTTTAATACACTAAATGTTGCATTTGTTTAAGAGAATCAGTGCCATGTATAACAAAATGACAAGATTGTTGGAAAGATTTTTTTCCCCAAAACATGCAGCATTGGCAATGTTAGATTTATAGCATGACAAAACTTATTTTTTAACAATATGCACAGTATGTCTTTCCAATATACAGTATATTTAATTTGTATCTGTGATAGTTGTAATGTTAGCAGGGGTCGGGTCTCACATTGATGCCCTATTTCAGTACTGACTGTGCTGAAACAGAAGTGTTGTATCGAAATGCGAGGTATCTTTTAAACATGGGTCTACATTATTGTACTATATCTTAGGTCTACATTAATGCTAATGGTTAATAATAATAACTCTGACCTACAAGGTTTAAAGAGAGAGTATTCTCCCTCTTGTGCTAATTAGCCCCCCAAGACAATTTATTCTATAATTGTCAAGTAATTTACTTTTATTTCAAAGATTTATAATTCCATTAATACTCTTTGGTTGTGAAATAATATGCAAGATTAATATGAGAAAGGGAAGTTTAATTAAGAATGATTGAACATAGTCTTTTTAGTTGTATCTGCAGAAAAGGTACACATTATATCCTGAATTTAGCAATGAAGGTAATGTTATGCATCTTCCTTCAGTGTTTACATAACATTTTGTATTAGTATTCTTGTTTTAAATGTTATATGAAATGTAATATGAAAAGCAATGTTGTCATACCACCATTTAAAACACCATATTTTCTAACAATATTTTTGTAACATATAAGGGTTTAGAGAAGTGAAATCATTGCATGCAAGTTGAATCATTGAACTGAATCATATTTTTTTAATCGTATTTTCAATATTTTTCCCGTTACTCACCGAAAAGAAAATAAGCCGAAGTAAAATTAGTTACCGTAAACTGTAATGCCAAGAAATATTAAATCAATTGTAAAACTGATGTCATATAAAGTAACAAAAGATTGAATTGTGGTTTTAACTTACACATTTCTGCTGAATGTGGCTGAACAAGGAGACGCTGGAGTACAGTTGGATTTTTAGTAGCATACAGTAGAACCGTAGAAAGGGTATCACATTTTCTGCATGATTGACGTATGCTTTGACTCTGCTTTGCTTATTTGCAAAACTACACTGTTTTGCCATCATTTCTGTTTTTCAGGCTCACTGTGAAATGTGCTTACTTCTTACATCAAAAACATACCGCACTATGGTAGGAGAAAGAGTGGTGATGAAGTATGCGTAGTGTAAACAGATTACAGCTTCATTTGACTAGATTGAGGAAACCTATATGTCAGGTTTAGGTAAACTATTGTTTCAAAAAGACTTATATTTCTTTCTGCTATCTTACCACTGTTATTGTTAAAAATGTATTTTGTTAAATTTAAGACTGTACATTATTAAGATATGTATACTTATATTAATGACAGTTTCTGAAAGTGCTGTTCACTGACTGCAGTACAATGTTTGTAGTATGATGTTTTGTTTGCTTATTGTCCTGTAATATACAGTAGTCCCTTTTTGGAGTTTTTCATTTTTGGAGTTTATAATGTACAGTATATAAGAATGTACTGCTATTCTGTTGTTACAGCTATTACAGATGTGATTATTTGATTATTTTTTATACTTGGTTTCTGTAACTAAAAGTAGCATCTACGTATCTGTACATCAGAGAACTGAAAGGATGTGATTTGTTTCCTCAAAATCAGTATGTCTTGCTTATCTGCTTCTTTAGTTGTTAAAGTTGCACCTGCAGTTGAGATTAAACTTAATGCTCAACTTGTACATTTTAATATTGTAAGTAAAAATAAAATACATTTGTAGTTCTGGAAGGTGCACTACATTGCTCCTTCTAATCGTGTAGAGATGTTAGTTATGTATGTGCTTGTCTGTGGCAGGGAAGTACATTTACTGAACCAAACAAGCTGAATATACAGTACTGCTTTTACTGTTACTGTTGGTCTCATTTTTAAGCATGAATATTTACAGTCTTACAGTAACACTGATGTACTACTAAGCAGCTAAGCTGAGATCCTGGTTTATCCAGGATTTAAGGCTTTAATTCTCACAACTCTTTGTTTTGCACTTCTCATTTAAAGGTCAGAATTCAAATATATTGCCATCAACTCTGGGTTAGGGTTATACCCTGAACACAAACCAGAAGGCACCAGTGTAAAGTACATCATTTAAATCAAATCATTTAAATCAAACAACACAAGGCACTTCTTTATTTTTAAGTGTTGTACAAGTATCAAACAAGGAACAAAGCCTTGTAGCTGAGGCCGATACCCTGGCCTCTTTCAAGAAATAGCTGGATAAGGTCCTGGGATTATTTAGCTTCTAAATACCAAATGATTTAAATGAGCCGAAAAGTCTCTTCTCATTTCTTACCTGTTCTTACATTTCTTAAACGTGTTGTCTCAGTTTAAATTTAAAAATAAAAATCTAAAGTTGAAGAAGAAGTGAGAAAACACTATAGGAAATGTGTCCTAGGAACAAGGTGTAATGTGTTTGAAATATATCTGAAAATAACAGAAATACAGTTCCAGGGAAACAACATTGACTTCAAGGTCAAGGTACAATAGTCACACACTTACCAATCACATACTGTATAACTCTTCAGTGCTAAAGTTAATGTAGAATTCCTCAGTGGCATCATTGTGTCAACAGATGAAGAGAAACACTTTTTTGATACATTTCTGTTTATATGTTTTTTATAGTTGAGAGATGATACACAATAAGATTTTGCCATTCTTCACTGAAAAACATCCATTGCAGTTCAGTGCTTCTTTTGACTATGTAATTTGCTTGGGCATAGAGATGTTGTTAGTTCTGTATTTAGAGGAGTATAACCAACATAGACAGTAAGATAACAGTATGATCTTGATACATTTAGGTAATGCTACCGTGATGAAAATATATAGTAACAGAACTGGATTTTGGTTTTACTTCGTATTATTTTTCTGAGGTCATATTTATTGGCTTTGTTGCAATGATAAATGTAAGAGATGCAAAACTAACTGTCATTCTATATATTTAAAAAAAACATAACATATTTTTATTACAAAGATACACTATGTTTTTATGTTTCCTTCTTTTGTCATTACGTCATTCCAAGTAGATATTATTGAGTAAGTTGTTGTCTTGTGCTGCAGCTCTCCAATGTGGAATTATTGACCCCTCTTGTGTTCAGTGTTCCATGGCAATGCTGTGTCTCTGTGTATTGCTTGTTCAGTTCCTTGGTGGTTACTGTTCTTTGTGAGACACTTGTACTGTGTTTGTCTATTAATGGTGGTGGAGTGTTGCCTTTTGATAAGAAATAAGCAAATGCCCAGTGTGCGACAACAGGTATGTTTTGCAGATAATTACTGTCTCCCGCTGATCGATGGAATTTCTGTTCATTGTGAATGAACATGATGTGTATTGTATTGGTGTTATATGAAGATGGGACACGTTAATGATTTTTAACCATCCACTTTAATGTGTGTTATATATGTCTTCAATGCTTAATGGAATTTTAAGTTTGAATCTTTTTTCTAAAAACAATCCTGTAGTTGGAAACCTCCATACAGTATGTTTGTATCCCACCGGCCACATACCGACAGGCTGTGCTGTGGGATTGTAGTGGAAAAAGAGGACACTATGTGTAGTCTTAATCGAGGCTAGTGGATTCATGGGTTAATGAATGGGGAGGTTGTTGCATAGATCCCAACTGAATACAAATTCTGAATTCTTGGGAACGAAAAGGTATAATTAAACGACAAATATTTTTTAAACAATTAAGTGTAAATGCCCTGCCCTTTGGTGTTCTCGTATCTCATGTGATCCCCTCTTCCTTATTATAATGAAAAAAATAATTGTGGAAAGCAGGTGATTGTGTTATAGACCTTTCCTGTGCTCTGTCAACTTGCCTGTACCTAAACCATTGTTCGGCTGCGCTGCAGTTTACAGGCTGAACATCAGCCAACACACTTTCTACTTCTTACGTGTGATTGCTGTTTGATCTCCTGTGCCAGATGGACCATAACTGTAAGAAACGTCTTTAGAAAATGTGAACCTGTTAAATACACATGCTGTAAAGAATAAAAATGATCCATGAATTAAAATGGGTTTTTTTGTGGAGACTGGTTTTTGGTCAGACACATACAGTATTTATTTCCTATAGCAAGTTCTCAGTTACAGCTCAGTTCAGTGTGTAATTTTCATGTGTTGACACTACTGTACTGTATATAGTGCCATGAAAAAGTATTTGCTCCTTGTCTGATTTTCTGTTTTACTGCATATTTTCCACAGTGAATGATAATAGATCTTCAAACAAAACCTTATATTAGATAAAAGGGACCCTGAGTGAACAAATAACTGTCACGGACGTCCAAAGGGACTAACTGTGGGGAGCAGGAGAGCGGAAAAAGACCCATATGCGTAGCGGCGAGACGGGAAAAAGGCCCGGGCTCATTGGTGCAAAGAGTTCAGGAATGCCGTATAGAAACCTATGCCCTCAGGGAGCGGATGTGGGGCGCCCTGGTGCTAGGCGGGTCTCAGGACATCCGAACGTCAATGCTGAGCGAGGACAGAGTGCAAGACCCGGAAATATATAGCCCAAGGGAAAGAGAGGGACAGGAAGGACAGCAGAGCGGAAACTAGGGACAGGACAGAGAAGGAGCGAACTCTGGCTGCAGAGGGCGTGACAATAACACAACATTATTAATCTTTCATACTTTATTTTGTTTAAAAATTTTGCAACCCAATTTTGTCCCACTCCTCCATGCAGAAGTTCAGCTCGGTGACATTTGTGGGTTTTCAAGAATGAACTGCTCTTTTTAGGTCCTGCTTCGACATCTCAAAGAGGTTTAGATCTTGCCGTTCCAAAACTCTTAAGTTTCTTGTTCTTCAACCATTCAAATGTGGGCTTGCTTGTGTGTTTCGTATCATGAACTTGCTGCATGAGCCAGCGGCGCTTCTGCTTCAGTTCACGGACAGATTGACAATTGACATTCTGCTGTAGAATTCTCCGATCCAGAGCAGATTTCATTCTGATGGCAAAAGCCAAAGTTAGACAGATTTATATTGGACAGGGCTGGCCTAAATTAAGCCTAATTGTTGACCAAGGCTGACCCAAAGATGACTAGCGGACCCTAATTATCCCCCTAATTGCGATGAGTTTACTTTGGGTGGGGGGACAATACTGTAGCTTTTCATACCTGAAGATAGCATGTTTGATTACCTTGCACACAAAACAAATAAAAGAAGTACAAACCTTTGGTGTCATTTTTTTCTCTCACGTTTTCCACTGTACAGTATACTACTACAACCCACCAAAAGATTTTACTGAATTTTTCCCAATAACATATTTAAATTACATATTGTGTTATTAGTTGTAGCTAAAGTGCCTTGCAAAAGGATTCACTCCCTTTCAATGATTTCTTATTTTGTTGAATTATAATTGTATATACCTGTACACATTTGTCTGAAGAGAATATTTTTAATTTTGATTATTTTTCACATCTTGAATTGGTTGAGAGTCATTGATGGGCAGCAATTTTCAAGTCTTAACATAATTTCCTATTGGACTCAAGTCAGAATTGTGACTGAATCCAATGGCCCCACTCAAGGACATTTACTTTTTCATGCTTAAAACCAGTCCAATGTATTTTTGCAGTTTGCAGTTGTGCTTTGGATCTTTATTCTGCAGCCTGAACCAGAATTTATTTTAAGATTTGCTTTTACTTTGATCCTTCAATTTTCCACTCAATCTTGACAATCTTCCCAGTCTCTGCTAATGAGATTCAGTCCTATAACATCATATTTTCACCACCCTGCTTGGCGTAAGAGTGCTATTGACTGGGTGATGTGCTGTGGTGCATTTGCACCAGACATAACACCTTGCATTTAAACCAAAACGTGCCACTTCTGTTTCATGTGACTACAAAACGTTTTGTCAGATCTTTTAAGTATCACATAAATGCTCTGTTACAAACTCCCTGAGTTTTTGTACCTTATAGAAGTGTGATGTATTTTTACCTCATAGAGATATGTTTTTTATTTTGAAATCATGTGAAGAACCATTATTGTATATAGAGACCATTTTACTGTGTTTTGTCAATTTTGTGTGCCTAAACTAATTTAGGTACTGTAGGAGGGTTGTTTAGTTTTTGACCCATAGCTGTTTAGTTTGAGCCTAGCTTCTGGAATAATTGTTAACTGTACATATTTAGTATCAGTATGTTACATTTTACAGGCATACATGTATATACTTTTGAAAAAATATTTGTGTTTAGGAAACTAAAACATTTTTTTTTGCACTGGGAGAAAGGTTGTCATATTACTAGAAGATACAGGAACTGATATAGAAACGTTGACTGAATCTTGTAGTTTGCCTTCACTGACTAGCTGTCCATCTCTGTCAGCAGGTTTATTTCTTTAGGTTAGCTGTTCATCACATCTTTCCTAAAACCTTGTTCTTTTTGAGTCAGCATGACCTTAGTCTATGCTGCTTCATTAAATAGTGTAAAACAAATTCCATGAAGCATGGTGATGATTAATTCTTTAGAGCTGAGAATATGTTGTGCCATCGTTCTCTTTCTCATTTCCTTCTCCGGTTATCTCTATTAGTTTATTGTTGATAGTTTTTAAAGTATGGGAAGTATAGCTTTTCTAATTATTCAGTACATTTTTGAAGAAACCTATGGCTAAGTACTTTCACAGACCGTAAACACCAAAGAAAGAAAAGGAGAACTCTTTTTAGCTTGCAAAAAGTATTTTGTTTAATTTACATTATAGTACATCTCAATAAATATGAAAAATAACTTTCCACTATTAATTTAAAGTTGAATTTCTCTCCCTCCCCTCCCTTTTCCCAGCTCTAACTCGCAAAAGCATTTATTTTCTATTTACAGTTTTCAGAATTTATGGGCGACTACATTGTAAACAAGGGCTTTGGCAGCAGAGAAAACAAACATACAACGGAGCTACCTTTCAGGACTGAGCCTCTTTCTTTACCAGAATGCCAACTACCTAAAATTTTGCTTTGCCAAGATCAAGGAGGAAGTAAAGCGAGGTTTGGGGCTATTTTATTGCTTCTCCACACTCCTTACTGGCCTTTTTTCTGATGGCCGTCCTTAATGATGACGTTCTTAAAGAGCGTCAGGAGTGGCTTCTGGCTGCGCTCGTCCCAGGACTTCATGAAGCCCCCGTACCGCTTGTCCTTGGGCGGGCCGCTCCAGCGGAAGTGGTGCATTTTGTAGGAGCCATCTTTCTTCTCCTGCAGGTTGAGGACCTCGTTCTCTCCTCCGAGCTCCTCCTCCACTTCTTCGAGGAGGGGGTAGTCAAGGTCGCTCATGAGGTCGCGCCGCATCTCTGTGGGATAGGCCTCGGCCGATTCCTCTTCCACCCCGTTGGGGTACACCTTCACAGGCCGGCGCTTGCGGCCCACCGGCTTCCCCCAGCGGAAGTGCTCCATGGAATAGGAGCGCTTGTCCTCACGCCTCTGCTGCTGCGAGCTCTCACTCTCCTCCATCTCTTCCTCAGCCTGGGGTGGAGCCAGGGCGGCAAAGAGGATGCTCAGAGCCGCGTTCTCTCCGGCTTGCTTGCTGCTTCCCACAGAGCCGTTGGTGCGCCGCCCCAAGGCAGTCGAGCGGAAGTGACTCTTCGCGTAGTTGCGGTCAGCCTCTGAAGGAGGCTGGAGGTGCCCATTCCCAGGAAAAATGGGAGATTCTGCGGTGAGGTCCGATTTGCAGGCTTGTATACACTCCTGGAAAGCAAGAACATCATTGTAAAGATTTTTGTAAATTCTCAGATACAGAACCTGCCCATACTCCGTATGTCAAATTAAGGCCATACAATAGACCCACTTTTTATCAGACTAATAGGGGGAAAGGGGTGTCTGGTATTGCCGGATATAGATTAAGTTATCAATGAAATATTTCAAGCATACAAAACACAGTCGTAGATGTGAAAAAAAATTAAGTCTGAAGTAATCCAATTTGTTTTGGAATGGTGGTAGACTACCAGAAGCTCATTCAGTATATCCTCGGCCTCCTTTACATGCCGACAGCTATGGATATCAACCTGTGTAAGCTGCCAGCATTTGCACACAGTAATGTTGAGATCCTTTCCTTGCTGACTATGCGTTCTGTGTAGACGTCGCATGCTTGTGTGCCTGGGCATCGTCCAGGAGTGAACGCCAGAAGAGACCAGTCTCGTCGGCATTGCATAGCTGGGAGAATACGATCCCTTCGTCTTGGATTAATTTATTGAATTTCGGATGGAACGGTTCTATCCTTTAAGTGGAGCGGTCAAAGCATATCTGTGGGTTCTTTTATTCAATCTAGAGGGAAGTTGACAAATCGTCAAAGCCCTCATTCACTGCATTTGAAATTCAGTTTCATGTGTTCAGCCAGTGTATTGGCTGTAGATCGTAATTCAACACCACAGATAACCTTGTTTGGAAAAAAAACCCCTAAACTAGATTTTGTCTGTTAAATTCGGAGTCTGTTAAAGCGGAGCATTTACTGTAATAATTATTAATAATGGATGGCAGAGAGGCTGTTTTTGTATTTTAAAATTGATTAATGTAATGCAACAGTATTATTATTTATAAAATAATTTAAGGCATGATGTTTATTTTTGTTTTAGTTCGCTGTGATGGTATTTTTTTTTAACAGCAGCTCTTAGCAAACTGAAATGCCTTTTAACATTGTCACAGAGGCAGCAGTAAATATTACAAATTTCAAGTCATTATACTATATTTTAAATTAGAACAAAAAAGTATCAGTAGAGTCTAACACAAGTTGTCTTCAATGGGCACCAATATATTGTCACAACCAGGTATGCTGGACTCACAATTCACAATTCTTAATTACAACACACTTATGAAATACCTATTATCAACACTTTTGTGAGTCTACATGGCACCGAGTGTTGCATTTACATTAAAAGAAAGTTCTGCTCACCAAGATGTTTTCCTCCGAGCTGAGGTCTCTGCATTGAGAGTGTTCCCAACACTGGCTCTCGACCTGACTGCTGTAGAAGTACAGCAAGGCCAGAGAGTACACCCAGACTGAACGCAGCATCTTCAATGAAGGAATGGCCTGGAAAAATCACATACATACAGTATTTCTTAAATTCTTTTGGGATATGTATGGATCACTCTTAAAATAATAGCTTCCTGTGCCTCTCCATTTATTTGTTTGCTTTGGTGTTTTTCTGTTTCCCCTTCTGAAACACTATTTATGCTGTTTTAGAAATAAGGAAACCTTATGGCAGCAGAGCTGCTAACATAGGGACCCTGATCTCAAGCACTGTCTCACAAGTGATTCATATTTCTCACGTAAAGCATTTCTTCTTACCCACCCATACCTACAGAAACTATCAATTTTTTTAACCTTTTTCCATCCCTTTTCCTGGGGGTGCCAGTCCATCACAGGACAGACACACAGACACTCACACCTACCTCCAATTTTCCCTGAAGCCAAATAATCTACCAGTCTGTTTTTGGACTGTGGGAGGAAAACTGAGCATCCAAGGAAAACCCACGTGAACAATGGGGTAAACATACAAACTCCGGGATTGAACCCAGCCCAAAAAATTACGAGGCAGTAATGCTCATTACTGTGCACTGTTCCACCCTATGCAAACTAATAAACTGAAAAAAAGATGTAAAAAATAATGTATGTGTAAATTAAAAATATTTTAAAACTATTAGACATCAAAACTGTGGCTTATTTCTACAGAGGAATTTGCCAGACAGATAATTATGTGTGCCTTAAAGTTGTATAGGTCACTTACCTGTATTAGTTCAGTTAAAACAACTGTTTATACAACTATAGTTAAAACTACAATGGTATTTTGTATATTTGCATAGTCTGGGTGACATACAGTACTGTTTATATGTTTTCATCTTGTATACAATTTTGAATATTTACCCACAATTGCCATAGGTTTTGCACAGTTCTCCATGATACAATTTGTAAATAATGTCTAATAAAATTTCACACTGTTCATTTTCCACTATACCTTATAAATTAAAACTATAGGTTAATAAAATCCTGACAAATTTACCACTGTTGCTTATTTAATGTTCTTTAAAGAACACTTTTTAAGAGCAGCTATCCTTGTGTCTGAGCAGGAACAGTTGCTGTTGCTCAGAGTAAATAGATAACTATGATATACAAGCTGATATTTGCCTTTGCTGAGTTATGCATTACCATTTAAATGCTGTATCACTGATTGAAAGCACCAGCTACCTGCAAACTGCATCTAACCACTCTAAAATATTACTGCTTAGGTTTTATATGTTCTCCTTGCCTGCTTAGTTTTGTAGTGAACACACATACAATATCTTGTACTCTCTGTTGAAACTGTTGTAATTTCTTAAAATATATACCTATACTGTATTTAAGGTGAGTCACGTTGCTCTAATAATCTTGAAAGCTCATGTACATTACAGTAGAAATCTGATGTTTCTTCAGGTATTGCCTAAATCTGACAGATGATTGATTTTCCCAGATGTTTAACCTTTAAAAAAGATGTCAGGCTCTAAAAAAAGTATGTAATCATTTATTTTGGTTTCAAACACAGAATTGATTTTTTTAGGTTTAGGAAATAGCTTCTCAGCCAGTCAGTTATTATTCCACAATCATGGGACTTTCTTTTGTTTGCCACTTTGTTGTGCTTGTTTAACAAATTGAGAACTTAGCCTGCCTTGAATCACAAATTGCTGTGCAGCACAGGGGACATTGTGCATACTGTACCTGATTGGAGTACTGAAAGGCAAAAATAAAAGTACAAATATCACAAATTAAGTAAGGTAGCTTGGTTTTATAATTTAAGAGAGTCTCAGGCCCTTTAATGATGTCATTTTTCGCAAAGGAGAGGCTTGCAATGTAAAATACATGGTGAGAGTTTTTCTCATAGAGGAAGACAGACTTTGAGGTATTTGTTTTGGAAATACCATTTAATGTAAAAATATATATGTTACAAAACACAACTAGTCTTTCTTAAAATACAGTTAAACTATTCCACCTGAAGTGTATAGAAGGTGGATCATTAAAAAAAAAATCTGCTATCAAAACTATGAATCAGTTGGCCGAATTATGACAAATACTGATTAATTAATTTTCAGCAGCTAATATTTCTATATACTGTAAAATCATGTGTGTACCATTTCTGTAATTTCATCTAATTTCCTAGTTGATGAAGTGACTATTATGAATTTAATTCTGAATTCTGAAGCAACTAAGCAACCCAACAAATGTGCCGTTCATCAAACAAAAAAGAAACACATTTAATGTTTTATTATTTGTAAATTGTTACATGCTGTAGCTTTTTTTTTTAACTTTTTGGCCCGCAAAGCCAATGTGATAAAAGTGTTTTGTCTCTGATTTATATATAAAAATCACACAGTAATGAATTAATCACAGAAGATAAAAATGCTAATAATCTTTGGAGTTCTAGTTAATAATCACCCCAATATTAAGCATGCATAAGTAGAAATTGCATGGGATCTGAGGGTAAAAATGTTGTTAAATCCAACAAAATTGAAAGGTGTCCTGGTGTGACAATCTGTAGAAAAATGTGTTATTATTCTACAGATATTTCGATTTGAAATAATGTCAAAAGTGAAGTGCTTGTAAAAGTGAAAATGTGATCCATACTTTTCCAATCTGAAATCTGTAAATCTACCAGAAAACTACAAATTAGTTTAATAAATCACCCTAAATCAGACCTAAATATCCTATTGATCAAAAATAACATTGTATTGTTTGTTAAATTTTAGTATTACAAAATTGACAAGCCATTTGATAGAAATAAAAAAATGAATATAATTGAAGAATACAGCATTGCTTACCTGCCTCTCAGTGTTTCGCTTCAGTCTGTCAGCACTCAACAGGTCTTCAGTCCTTCTCTGCAGGTATTCTTGTTATCTTCAAAGCAGGTTTTGTGTTCTTCTGACTGCTCCTTGCTCTGTCTCTAAGTCTGATCTCCTAAGCAGTTCCTTTTATACTCAACCCTTGCACAGCAACCTTTCATGGGCAATAGTTTACGAGGAGGGTTCCTTTTGTGTCTCTCTTAAGAGGGGAGGTGCTAATGTAAAGTTCACAAATGTGAAATCTGTGGCCGAAAAAAGCCTCTATATTTCCGGAACACATTTAACGTCACTGCTAATAGAGAAAAGGATTGTCAAGTGAGTTCTACTTCTCAAGGATAGATATCCTTGATATTAGTTTCACATACTAATTAAATAGCATATGTGTGAATTTACTAGGTTTAATAGTGAAATCTATGCATTTTCAATCTAGCAACTTCATCACTAAGGTACTCTTTTGTTGCTGGTTTCATGGCAGAGGTGCTAGATGCACACTTTAATTAAACATGGTTTTAAGTTACATGGGATAATTGAAATGATGCACTGATGTATAAAGCCTGTAAAGGGCAGAGCAAGTTTTTTTTCTCTCTGAAAATTGATTATTTGGTTTAAAAAATGACTGACGTCTTGTAGCATTAGTCATTAGAACAACTCAATTCCCTGGCCAGTCTCTCCTGGGGTGACAAGTGGCGTTAAAACCGTGTGGTGTTTTTTTTGAGCTGGAACAATGCTTGTTGGGAGATAACAAATTAACGTAATATGTGAGCCCAAACCTACTTGTCCGAAGGTTCATTTTGCACTCTGTTCTCTATGATTTATTTTATTGATCTTTAACAAAATCTTTTATCTGCCATTCCTGTCTGGTCCAAATGAAAAAATAACCACATCATGGTTTTGGAACTTAGTTTACAACTTTCTCTTTTATTAAAAATGTCCAGCTGTTTTCTGTCACAAACTTCTGTCCGGGTTATTTCTATAACCTTACTGTTCCATGGGCACTGGCAACCTTCATTCAGCATTTTAAGAAATGTCTTACTCACCGTGTCCAATTTCTGTGATGAATGGATACCTCTAGCCATGGCTAGTAGGATTTTGGAATGCTGGACAATTTTTTTAAACACAGTTATAACTAGAACAATACATGTTTAAAGATGCAGTTAATCAAGTTTTTTGGGGTCTCATTTGTTTCTTATAATTGCATATAAACAATATGACAGTACCTGTTTTCTGAAGTGTCTGACAAACCTCTGATTACTGGTTTGTTGGGGAAGTGCAATGGTGGTGAGAAATTCATAGACAAATGAATGGAAACTTTGGACTATGGCTGAGGAAGTAAGCATATGTTTTTGGTAGAAAGTAAAGTCATTTCTGGAATGTGTTGCGGGTTACAATAATTGTGTTTTTGATATTATAATAATCAAAGAATGGAACAAAGCAATTGGTATTTATCAGTCAATCACCTTTGTGTTTTCTTAGTAGAGTACATTCCATTTTAGTGTTATGAATGTAAGGCATGAATAAAAATACCATTAGGACATTAGGAGGTAGGGTGGCCTGTCAGAAAGACCGGTGGTGACAATACCATCCTGGAAGCAGGAGGCTCAGGTAGCAACTTGGGATTTCATGCAAGAATGTACATTAGTTGGAGATCTCACGATAATGGAAAGGTGTTTACCTGGAGCCTTTGACAAGGGAAGGCTCCTAGTTTTTTCAGACACAGTCTTGTAAGTGCTAACAGAGAAGGCAGCACTGACAGAGAGGAAGAAGTTACCAAACCTTCATGCAGAGTATGCTAAGAGCACAGAATGGAATTTAAGGAACAGGCATGGAGATGAGTAGCCGATAAAAGAGCACAAACCTGACTGAGAAGTCGGGAAGGCAGGAGAGATTGAGAGGTGGATTCTTTTCCACCCCACAAACTTCCAAATAGATCAGGGGTTACAGAAAGAGCTCTCTTCCCCAAGAGGAGATGATAAATCTATTACTTTGGACTGGGGTTTTTAATTATAAGAGAAATCCAACCCCAGACAGAGACAAACTGGAGAAGCCCAGCGTGTCACGGAAGATTGGATATTTGGTCCTAGACCCTACATGACAAAATATCTGTGCTACAGGAGGCTTAGAGAAAGTGGGCCAGGATATACAGTTTCCAAGGCTTAATAAAACTCTGTATAGAGGAATTTGTCAACATAGGTAATTCAGTCAGGAGGCTCATGTAGTAACAATGGCATTTCTTGAAAGTTTGAAAATGTTTGAAAGTTTCAAGCTAATTGGAGAAGACTTATTTGGAACTGACTACAGGTACATAACCACTCAAAAGAAAGAAAGTCAGGCTGCTTTAAGTCTTAATATGGTCTAGGAAATACTAAAAGAGAAGACAAGCTGAAGGAGGGAAGCACTACCCGAAAAGAAAGAGCAGCCATGCCTTGGACCAGCACTGACAGAGGTGTAGGAGAGCCAGATTCATTGTACAAAATCAGCAGCATTGAGTTGTGCTGAGGGAACAGGAAAAAAAGTCTGTTGAGTGAAGCAACAGGGATTGCAAGAAGTGTATTTCCTGCTGAGTGAAAGACAGGCACGTAGAAAGAGTGAACTCCACAGGACAGGAGCTGAAAAGCAGACAAATCCCAAATAGCTCCCATTGAGAGTAATTCATATCTCACAACAAACCTGGTATCAACAGAACAGTATGTGAAAGAAAGTTATATTCCTTACAGGGGTTATTAAATACAAGAAAGAGCCAACCGCACGCAGAAAGAAATCAGAGAACCTCAGCATACAAGTGAAGGCTGGGTGTCTGGTTCTGGAGATGTTGCCATTCAATAATATGCCAAATGTGCCTTAGGGAAGGCGTATCAGTATGTAAAGTCTCTAGGCCTAAAAAAAAACCTTTCACGGAAGAAAATCCAACCAAAAGTCAGCTGAAACACCAAAAACATGAGGTGGTCTGTGAGCAGCAGGTTCTGGGCTTCTGGGGGAAGAACTTACTGTAAGTATGAGTGCTGGCAGGTGTGTACACACGGGCGAGCAGTGACTTTCCTACAGAAGAAAAGTTAATGGTTACAAATACTTAATTAATAGAGCACTCAATTTTGTTTATTAATCAAGGGTTTACTTTTTCCACTGTTAAACAATCCACATTGTTGAAAATGGTCTCATCTTCCTTCTTGGTAAATCCCCTCCTCGAAATACTAAATTTGTAGACTGAGACTCTGCTCAGGCTGTAGGAATTATACAACTGTATTTTTTTGTGCATGGAAGAAAAACACTAATAAATAATACAAAATACATTTGCATTATTGGATTATTATAAAATATATAATCTCAGATCATTGCTAAAGCCCGTATACTTTATCAATACAGAATATCGGCTATACAAAATAGATCTTAGAGAAAATAAGTTAATAAGTTATGAGTGGATCAGGTAAGCAGCACATCAATTTAAAAACAAACTGTATTATTTTATTTAAACATTTACAGACATTGCTAAAATGTTGGTCTCTAAAAACCACTTGTTATCATGTTGTGTGCAGAGGATATATAGTATGTGCCTTTAGAATAAGTAAAGGTTTATTCCATACTGAAATGAAATGAGCCTTCTTCAGATGTTGACTCCTGGAACAAACCTTTACTTGTTCCTTTGCAGCTCACGCATACTGACACAGCTACCTACTTGACCGCCTTTAGAATATAGACTTCACTCATGTTACAATAATATGCCAAATTGGATTAGCTGAATATTGTTAGTGTTGTTGTAGTAAATCCTTTTTTTAAATACCTTACAGTGACAAATAATAAGATAAAAGGACCATGGGCACAAAATATTTAGTTTTTTGGAATTCTTGGAAGTTTGCACATTTCTTTTGGAATTATTGAGCCAAATTGGTGCATTGAGACAGTTAAGGGGGTTAAGGGAGAGCATTTGGAATTTAGAAAAAGAACAGAAACTTTTCTGCATTTTATTTTCTCTTCTAAAATAAAAATATCTAAACTTCAAAAACTCCAGTTTAGTTGAAGTCACAGATTTAAAAAATTGAGAAATTGAAACTTTGAATGGTACATGAGATGCTTTGACACAAATATCATAATTACCTTAAACCTTAAACCTAATTTCATATTTTATGTATAAAATTAGCTTTTTCAACATACAGTATGCTTTATGAAATACATGTCTTGCTTCTAATGGACAAATGTCATTTTTAAAAATCATAATCTGACAATTAATGTACAGTAGAATAAATAGCTACAGTATATAATGATTTATATAATTTGAATATTTGATTAAACATTTACAAATCATTTCTGAATTAAGGTTTAAAAATTAACAATTAATATTTGCATTTGAATAATGATAATTTACCACAAAAATATGGTAAGGCCTGAGTTTATTAGGTATTAGGTATAGTGTGGGCTATTATTAATCAACTCGGCTAGGCTAACTCCTGTGTGGATGACCCTGTGTGGATGAAATCTGAAAATTCTGTGGAAAGAGTGAAATTTTTAAATTATTGCAAAAGATACAAGAACAAAGATGGCCAAACAAAAACCACATCTTCTAAATGCACAAAATAATTCAGAAGAGATTTCCACTGAATATTTCATTGATTTCCCTTTGTTGGTGTTGGACATGGTTGTTAGGAGTATAGTTTTGTTTATCTTAAGATGCTGACAGAAAAGATTTTACTGTAGAGGGATCAATTAATTTCTTAATAATGTCACATACAGTACATTACCTAGTGATACTATTCCTACTGATTGTAAATCCATATTCCATCATCATTCTGTGATGTATATAAAACATTTCTGCAAAATACTATACAATTAATTGTAATTAATGATTACAACTATCATTAGGTCATCTCAGTTACTCATTTTGGAACCTACTAATATGTAGATAGCTCCAAGATCACTGTTGTAAGGATGAAACTAAAGTTTGTTGATGTACGTTTGTGTTAAAGAATGAGCAAAATACTTCCAGCAAGCTGCCAGGACACTGTTTGATAGAAGATTGCTCATATGGTGAAAGTGCCCTACCATTTACCTTGGTGAAACTGACTGCTGAAGTGAAATCTTCAGAAACAGACTGACTGTATCTACAAGCATGCCAGAGAGTTGAGGAT